GTTTACACTTAGTATCCCTCAGGTTGCATCTGTTTAAGGATTATGATTCGCTATTTTTCTTTATGTCTACTTTGAACCTTTTATTTTAGACCTTTTTTGCGCATAAAAGTTCAGCATTGAAAAAATATTAACAAAATTTTTATAGATGTATGAGTTTTGAAATAGCATGTGAGAATTTGCAATTTTGAATAGCAATTTTGCAATTGTGGCAAGAGTAGAGGTCCCGACACACTGGATTTCATGTATGGTAGCTGTGCAAAAGAAAGATGGAAATATTCGTTTATGCATTAACCCAAAGCCATTAAATAAAGCATTGAAACGTAATCACTATTGTCATCCAGATATAGAGGATCTTCTACCTAAATTAGCAAAGGCTAATTAAGGTATTCTCGGTTGTGGATGCAAAGAATGGGTTTTGGCACATACAATTGGATAATGAAAGTACCTACCTAACCACATTTGCAACACCATGGAGCCCTTACAAATGGAAACGAGTGACTTTACCAATTCTCCAGCTCCCGAAGAATTTCAACGCTATCTGGACGAAGTTCTGGCAGGATTGGATGGAATTAGAGCCATTTGTGACGATATACTGGTTTGGGGAGTAGGCGAATCCTATGAGCAATAATTGAAAGATCATGATAATAAGAAAGTTCGTCTATTGGAAATATGCAGAAGTACTTGAATAAAGCTAAGCGCAAAGAAATTGTTGTTTCATTGAGTAAGTTTTATAGGTCATTTAATTACCTCAGATGGAAGGATTCAATCATGATACTGAAAAGGTTGAAGCAATCCTGAAGATGCCTATACCAACTGATAGACAAAAGGTACGACTCCTTCTAAGGATGATCAGCTATCTTCAAAGCTTCGCACATAACTTATCCTCAGTCATAGCACCTTTAAAAGAGCTCCTTAAAGAGCAGAACAAAATTCACTGGAGATAAGACGTTGAATAGAGGTCTTTCAATGTAACCAAGGAAATTTTGTCAACAACTCCTACTTTGAAGTATTATGATTTTGATCACGATCTTGAATTACAGGGTTGATGCGTCTGAGAAGGTTTTGGGAGCTTGTCTAATGCAAGATGCGCAACCTATTGCATATAAATCGAGGTCATTAAGCGTAATTGAGCAACAATACTGTCAGATTGAGAAGGAAATGGTGGCGATTGTAGTTGGAACAGAAAAGTTTGAACAATATATGTATGGGACACGAGTAATGGTTGAAACTGATCGCAAGCCAATTGAGAGTATTATAAAGAAGAGTCTCCAAAATGCACCGAAGAGATCAAAGCGAATGATGCTTAGTTTACGGAAAGATCAAGTAGAATTTACGTACAAGAAGGGATAACAGATGTATTTAGCTGATAACTTGAGTCGTGTGTATGTAGAGGGAGATCGTAAAATGTAGTGTTTTGATCACGAAGTGTTGTCATTTGGAAACAGTATCAAACAAGATATGGAGTCCATTGATATGGTTAATAACCTTGCAATCTCTGAAGAATCATTGACAATGATTAAACAAGTTATAGTAGCAGATAATGATTTAGAGAAGCTAAAAAAGTTTGTCAGACTAGGATAGCCAGAGGTAAGAGATCAAGTACCACCAAGTATAGCAGAATACTTTAATTTTCAATTCAAACTGGTCTGATATTTAAAGGTGAAAGATTGGTCATTTAATTTGGGGCAAGATCATATATAATGCATGAATTCATGCAAGTCATATGGGTGTGAAGGGATGTCTAAGACATACCCAAAATAGTGTGTATTGGCCTGGTATGACGAAGGAGATCACAGACTGTATTTCAAGATGTCCAACGTGCAACGAGAATATACGTGAGCAACAGAAATAACCGTTAATCGGCTACACAAATCCTCAACGACCATGGAAAATGGTTTGTTGTTACCTTTTGAGCATGAAAGAAGTCATTTTTTAGTAATAACTGATTTTTTCTCAAATTTCTTTGAGTTGGATCAGGTAAGCAATAAAACTAGCAACAAAGTCATTAATAAACCTAAATTACATTTTTCAAGACACGGAATTCCAGAATAGATTGCGACCGACAATGGGACACCAAGAGAATTAGAGTTTGAACAAATTACTAGCTAACCCGGATGTCCAAGGTTAACGGAAAAGCTGAAAATGCTGTGCGGACAGCAAAACATTTATCGAAAAAAGCGTAGAAGAGTGGAAGAGATCCTTATTCATCCCTATTGAAGTGGAGTAATACTTTTAGTGAAGGGATTGAGTATTCACCTGAGGTTGTTTTGTCAGCCAACTAGAACACTAATTTAAACGTTCAAAAGTCTTCTAAAGTAGGAAAACCAGAAAAATCTTAGTTATCGCAGAAGCGTAAGCCATGGGTACAGGCGAAAGTTGAAGGGAAAGTTGACAATCGTTAATATCAAGTTCGAACGGAAAAGTGTACAGACAAAATCGACAACACCTAAAACATTCTAAAGAACAACAAGAGTAAAATACAACGATGTCTGATTTGTAATCACCAATGACAGAAAAAAGGATTAAAGTGTCCAGCAGTCAAGTAAAGACCTTTTTATTTCCGGTCAACCATTATTAACATTCCCGGTCCATTTCCGGTCAACAGATATTAAAAAGGATAAAAATGTCCAGCAGTCAAGAAAAGACCCTGCTGTTTCCGTTCAACCAATATCTGTTCCTATAAATATCTTTGAGAAGACAGAGCATGTTATCATTGAAGATCAAGAGAGAGCGAGAAGTGGAAGAGTTGTAAAGAAACCCTCTTGCTTTCAATTGGGTGTGAACTGAAAAAAAACAACTATGAGCTATGAGCTAGATTACAGCTTTAATCATGTTGCTAAGTTTAAAATTAACTAATTAATTAAAGGTATAAATAATGCCATTGAATTAGGAAGTCTTGTTCCATATAGTCTTATATCTTCATTTTCAATTGGATACTTGAAATTGGCCTTAAAATGCGAAGCAAACAATTTTTAAGTTTGCTTCGTGGTCGTGTAGAGCTACACTGGGTCCGTCCAACGTGAATCTTTTCGAAAGCAAATTAACGATTAAAGTAGCTAGCAAAGTTTAAAAAACAAGTTTTGTTCAATATGTCGCATGTTACACGTTTCTCCTTCTATTAAAAGTAAATTTCAGTATCTTCATTTTAACTCATCCAAACCTATCACTTAAGTTTTCCTCTTCAAATGAAAGAAGGTCTTTCAATCAATGAAACAAATCTTGATTTAAATGCTAAAATTCACCACCAGCTATAACACAATCTTTTTATTATATTTAATGTAAATAATTTGATGAATGCAGTTATTTAATGTTCCCATTCATTCTAAATAATCAATTTTTTTATAACATTCTATAATTTATCATATTACTTAATACTAGTCATTCTGCAATGTTGATAACATTTTTATATTGTCCAAACATGTTGCTTTGAAAACATCCTCATTTTTATTGAGGTGGATGTCGACGCTCTCGTCGTAGAATAAAGAAAACGTAAAAGGGAAACTCGCGGGTGAAACGCTTGGCACTTTTTTTGTGTGAATGCGTTAAGTCCGCCATTACTCTGGCTAGTAACTTGGCGTTGGCGTTCTATGAACTTATACTGGAAAAGTGCAGTTTCGGGATATTAGTCGCCTCATACGTAAAAGATTTTGGAAGATCATAAAATATTGTGATAAAACATGATAGAAACAAGATAAGAGATCATTATTTCATTGCCAACAAGTAAGTAAAGGTTTTTATTGGTAAAAATGAACCGTTTTAATGTAGCTCATTGAGTTGTAAATAAGGTTATATTTATGAAAGTATGAAATAGAATCTCTTGCATTTTCGTCAATTCTAAATTATAAATATCGCATAGTTTAAGGTGTATTTATGAAGGATAATTACAAAAATGACAGAGAAACTTACTGGTACGAACGCTGCAATATTTTATATTGCAAAATGGTACTGCCAAACTTACTATGTAAAGTAATATTAACCAAGCAATAAAATAATCATTCATTATGCTTGTTTATGAATGATAACTAATAATAGTCTAATAGACCTTTAGTTTTTAGCAACAATCAATTCAAAGCAAGGGAGAGTTTGTTTTATCACTTAAGCATGAGTGAACAGCTCAATATGTCAGGCATTTTCGATATCAAATATTATTTTTTGAGGTATACAATTTTTTTGTATATAGTAATTATTATAAATTTGCTTCAAAGCAATTTGCGCTCTGTAAAAGTTATGACAAAAGTTCATTATAGTTGATTTTTGATTTTTTTTCTAGTTGCTAGCCAAGTGATTGCTTGATTCTAAAGTGAAGATTGTGTTGCGAGTGACTTGTACTGTGTATTATTTCATTCAAAGATCAACAGTGCTTGTATTTTTAACAATGAAGTTATTTAATTTTTAAATGAAATGTACAGACTGGTTTCATGTATTCTGTATTCTGTACATTCTACTTTACAATATACACACAATTTAAATTTAAACTGATTTATGAATGGTTCTAAAAACAGCAAATACCATAGTGAATGGTTAGATTAATATAATTAGTTGATAGTTCTTAAAAGAACTGTTTTAAGTAAAGAGCACTAAACCAATAGTTCTAAATTAATGCACCCTACGCTATAAATTATGTAAAATGCCTTAGCCCTTATACCTTCTTTACATTGCGGCGTCAATGATAACAGCATTAGATTCAAAGTGCAAATTTAGTAAAAAAAGGCAGAAACTTTGTTTCGAAACAGACAGACGCTTATGCAACTCAGCGACATTTTCAAAACTGAAACAACACTCTGCTTAAGAGCATGAAGTTATACCTTGTATAAATATATGCCAGCTTAATATGAAACTGCTGCGATTTCTTATAACAATTCAGGAACAACTCTGTGCATATGTAGTAAACGTAGTTAGTGTTCCTGCGCTTCATGTTAAGCAGGACTAAAAACTGTGTAAACAAAACTCATCGAAGACAATAATTCAAACTTCACTAGAAACGAAAGTAAAGACCTTACCGTTCTTCAACATCTTCTAATGTTTTAGTATCTCTTATGCTGCCAGATCTCTTCATGTCTCCAATTAGACCAGCGACAAACTGTATCACCAATTGCCATTTAGGATCACGTTTATTATAATCCAAAAACAGTGGAATTTTGCTCCATTCGTCTACAATACATTGCGCAGCCAGAAACTCTTGAATAGTCAAGTGTAGGAAACAGTACTGTAAGCGTTTTGCATCCTGTATACGGTGAAATATACCACAATTTGCTACCTCATGAAAAGCACTATTACTACTTTTTTCAAAAATCAAATTTCCTTTGGTAATTCCACTAACTGCAATATCTTTTATTTTGTCAATATCGTTTTTAAGCTCGGGGTGCAAAGGAATTATAAGATAATCATTTTCTCTTGGTATTTTACCTGATTTGCAAAGTGGATGATGCATCCACAGCAAGACTTTGATTGCTCTATTATATAACTTAGTGATGGTCTTTGGAATATCTTCAGCCTTACATATCAAGCTCTCTTTTAGGGTTAGACAAACAATGTAACTATTCACAGGAATATAACACAAACTTTTAAGTTCAAGAGAAGTATCAATGTGCTCATAAATGCTTTTGGCTGTATTCTTGTCTTTACCACAAAACTTGTCGACGTATTCTTTAATCTGATCTTCAAAAAAGCCCAAGATTTCCACAGTCCTGTCAAACTTTAAACATCCATATGCATGTTCAGCTGTGGGTCGTGATGTTACTAGAACAATGGCATCAGACAGCGTTTCACCTTCAACTAATTTTTTTATTAGTTTAAATACAGGGTTCTTTGTTTCATGGAGCTCTAAACGATTTAGAAATAATTCATCGAGTCCGTCGATGATAATGACAGTTTGTTTTGGATAAGTGATTATGAATTTGTAAACTTGAGAATAATGTTTATCTTTTAGTCCATCACGCCGCTTTAACATATCTTCGAGAGTAGTGTCGCAAGTTTCAAGATCACGACATCTCACTAAAATAACAAGTTTATCTTGCCAATATCCATCTCGATTATTTTTCCATTCGTATATAAGTTTTTTAGTGAGCATAGTTTTACCAATTCCCGGCCTTCCAATGACTAAAATAGAGTTTGGACACGACGTGCTCTGCTCACCTGGGATTGGCGTAAAAATCTCATTTACTCTTGTTAGTTTTTTTACATCATTTCTCACTTTTAGGTAAGAATGAAAGATTTCGTGCCGATTAAACGTTTCTGGGAAAGCATTCTTTAATTGTCTCTTTGCTTGTAGTATGACGTTGACATAAATATTATCAAGATTTTGCCTTTCTTTGTTCTCATCACCAAAGTTGTCGTGTATTTCAAAAAATTTGTTCGTGTAAAGATCGTTTATATTTTCCTCCAACCATTCTTTAGGTTTTTGAAGCAGTACAAAATTCAAGTAAACTGTACAAAATTTATTCTCTTTTTTAAAAGAGTTATCAGTCCAAGCCTTATACGTCAAGTAACACAGCTCCAAAATTGTTAGTGTTATTACAATAAAATCGACAGATAAAACAGCTTTAATTAAGGTTTCCTTTTTATCAGCGTTGAGATTTTCACAATCAATGGTAGAAATGGTGTTATTTAATGAGGAAATTTCTTTCAAAGTTGGACGTCTTTTACAGGTGTAGTAGATGGGAAACTTAGCATGGAAAAGTAATACAATGAAGACAGACAATATGATGAGGCGAACCACTAAATAAACGATGTATATGGAAAATGAAGAAAAATTAAATGCAACGTTGTCGGATTGAGGAGTTCCTTCACTATAATCCACATGTAGAGGTTGACTTTGTTCGTTCCTGTTTTCTATTGGACTGTCAGTATCATTTGGTTCAATTCGATGCTTTACATAATATCCATAGACAATACTCCAAATTAAGACAATGGCAAAATTTAAAACTACCGTAAGAAAAGCAGCATCCTTAAAAGTTAAACCATCTTTGTATTGTCTGAAACATGTTGATTCAATGCTCTTTAAAAGAGAACTTTCTTTCGTCTTTGATATAATCTCATTATGACAATCAAATGAGCTATTAAGAAATAAAACTGATGAAACAGTAGTAACAGGGATGAAAACTATACCAAAGACAATCAATATTAATCTTCCAAACCAGTTATAACTTCTCCATGGTATGTATTCAAGAAAATTTGCCATTTGTATGCTTAAAAAATGTATTAAATCGTCACATTACTTTGAATTCAAAACAAGACGCTAACATTGGAGTTCAGTATCGTAGCTAGCTTGCAGATTTACTCCCGCTATGAAAATTCTAAAAGATTACCATTATTCATTTCTTTAGAATTCTACTGTTCTCACAGTCAGTGAACACTAAAAAATTTGCGTAGAGGAAGTAAAAAGTTGGGCTGGCTACGCTACTGCTTTGCTTATCTACAACTCTAGGTACAAAGTCGCATGCAAAACTCCAGGATTAATAATACCTCATGCAATAATCCATTTCATGTTTAAACGACTTACTTGCATTATGAATGTTTTATGCAGTGAGGTGTTTGAAATTAAATGAAGATATGATCTTCGCACTTTGCTGGACAATTTAAGCAATCGTCTCAGGAACCTGAAAAAATCAGGTGACTCAATTCAAAATTCTGCGGTGCCGGTGCAGTGCTCTGACCAACTGAGCTATGAAGTCACACAGTGGTGAGCAGGTCAATATTGTTGGGCTCATGTTTTCTCGTGAAAGGAATGTCGTATGAATGTTTTTATACGACATTCATGGGTTCGAATCCCGTTGAGTCACCTGATTTTTTCAGGTTCCTGAACATTATAAATCATTAAGATCATTATTTCAAACACCACTGCATCATTTTCCTTTCACGAGAAAACATGAGCCCAACAATATTGACCTGCTCACCACTGTGTGACTTCGTAGCTCAGTTGGTCAGAGCACTGCACCGGCACCGCAGAGGTCATGGGTTTGAATCCCGTTGAGTCACCTGATTTTTTCAGGTTCCTGAGACGATTGCTTAAATTGTCCAGCAAAGTGCGAAGATCATATCTTCATTTTAATACTTGCATTATGATATAAAGGAATTTTAGTAGACACATCTGATAGTCAAAGCAATAAGTGTTGTTTTGTAATTAAATAAAGTGTACAATTATGTTCTTTCGCTGTTGCGTATAACCAGCTAGGGCACTGTAGGGGAAAGTATATTCATGTACGTGTGCTCTACAATAATAATTCTTTTACAAAGATGGCTACGAGTTTGCATTGGCACCATAATCAATCTTACGTAACTGTTCCTCAGGCTACTGATATTGGATTAAATATGAAACAATTTGCTATTTGTTGATGTAATAGCATGGTTCTGAGTGCAATAGGCCTTTTGCAGCTAGAGGTCACGTGCTTAGGTAATGCCATACTGGAGAGCACGCTTTCCATTAAACAATGGCGAGTACAAGGCAATTTACTATGTAGAGTAAATTTTCTTTGTTTTTGTGGCGATTTCGGCTAGACAACACTAACATGGCGTCGAATCAAGGTATGTGACAAGCAAAATTTTTCATCAATTCTTTTTCTTGACTTTTTTTAATCGAAAAATGAGGCACAAGTAGGAGATTTGGCTTTCGGGAAGGTATTAATGATTAATCTAATGTATTTTCATGTTTTTATGCATGCTTCTCCAGATGATTCGTGTACCGAAAGTAAAGACATAAGTTCTCTTCCTAACTTGTCTTTTGCATTTGTCGAGAAGTATGCAAAAGAGTTGTCAGGATGTCAGAGTACCGCAAAGGCCTACAGGTTTGTTGCTGAACCTGGATATTTACATGAAATGAGGTAAATTGCCAATCATTGTTCGCGTTTTCTTTAGTTACTAAGCTTACTTTCAGAGTGTGATTACTTTGATCTCATAAAAATTTTAATATTCTTTTGTCAGTTACAACCAAGGATGATTTAGCTGTAATAAATGCTCGATGCTATCGATCAATGAAGAAAAATGAGCCTCCACGTGTACTTGAAACCAAGATCAACATTGTTAACAGTTCAATTTCTGCAAGGTGTTCATGTGTAGCTGGTGTTGGGGGATACTGCCATCATGTCGTTGGATTGCTGTTCTTTCTAGCCCATTGCAAACAGCTAGGTCTTCGCTCATTGCCCGATTCATTGACATGCACTAGTATGCCTCAAAGATGGAGTGTACCCAGAGGAAAAAAGATAGAACAGAAGAAGATTCAAGATGTGCTTGTCAAAAAACCAAGAGCAGGGGCTAATTTCACCAAATTTATTAAAAGCACACTATATTCACCTTCAAATGTTTATTTACCAATGACAAAAGAAAATTTTGATGATTTTGAAAGCAAACCATTAATAGCAAGTATACTTCCAAGTGAAAAGAACCTTGCAAGTATCCCACATGTGCAAAGTAAATTTGGAGAAGTTCCTAAAGGATGTGTTCTTTCTTACCAGCAAAAGCTCTCTCAAGACTATGTTATCAATGATTTCAGTTGTACCAACTTTCCAACACTACCATTGTCTTCAGCGCAAATGAGATTTAAGAATAATTGTTCCAGTTGTCTCACAAAGCAACAACAAGCTTCTTTAGATGCTATAATGATTACTCAAGAAGATTCACTTGACATCCAAGAGAAAACAATCACTCAAAGTGCAAACAGTTTGTGGCATATGTTAAGAAGTAAAAGAATCACAGCAAGTAAGTTTGGGATTGTTGCAAGACGGTCGAGGGATTTTGAAAATCTTGTAAAACAGCTCAATCCATCTCGTCATGTCATAACTGCAGCTATGAAAAGAGGCATTGATTTAGAATCTACAGGTGCAATGGCCTATGCTAATGTTGCTAAGAATGGGTCTGTGAATCTATTTCCTTCTGGATTAATTATTCATCCCAGATGTCCTTGGTTGGGCTGCAGTCCAGACCGATTGGTATATGACCTACAAGCAGCTGAGAGTTGTTGCAACCCTTTTGGATTGTTGGAAATCAAAGTTGTCAAGGAAGGTGAAAATGACTTTGCTAATGTTAGATATCTTTCAAAAAATGTGGCTACAAATGACTTTATTTTGAAGAACACTGATATTTACTTTTACCAAGTACAGTGTCAGTTAGCTTTGACAGGTCTTGAGTGGTGTGACTTTTTTAGCTACATAAGTGACACACATTTTGTTTGCAATAGGATTAAATTTAACAAAGACTTTTTTCAAGAGGCAAAAAATAAGGTTGATGGTTTTTATTTTCAATATTTTTTAAAGTGATTGTCGTAAACTTGTGATAATTTTCTACAATTTTGTGAAAATCTCTTTTATTCTCATAGTCATAGTCTGTTACATATTTTTTAGCTACATTTAATTCTTTTTGACAAGACAACTGTAATCCAATATTTACAATTGTTAATTCTTACTAGGATCAGAAATTAGTGGGCCTTGGAAATTGGTAAGCAAACATGCAACTGTGTATATTTGATTAATTGACCCCAATGAATTAAGTGGTATATCAGAATAAAAAATATGATACTCTTTTATCCTTCGGATAGCCCTTTCCACATGTATGCGGACACTTGCAATTTCTTTGGTTTTTTGAACATCATTTTGAGTAAACTGAACATTACTCTCTAAGAAGGGGGGAATATTAAGTATTGCTTTCTTTTCTAATAACAGATATTCTATATCAAAACCTTTGTCTGCCATTATTGAATCTCCCTCCTCAATTAAATCTAAGATGCCACAACACCTAGTTATTTCTTTATCTGAGATTGCTCCAGTATATAACCCAGATACAAAAGAGACTGCCCCATGAGGAGAGATCCCAACCAAACCTTTAAGGGTAGTGTTGCTTTTATAGCTTGAGTATAATTGTGACTGTAATAATAAGAAGCTGGGAGTTTGTAAGAAAATTTCTGTGCAATCTATTATAACTCTAGTACTTGGGTAAAGCCTACGAAAACACTGGGGCATGTAGTTATTGACATTTTCCCTAGAAGGCCAGATTACTTGACATCCCAACATGAAATATAAGTAATTGCTCCATGTAACTATTTTTTGGCTAACAGTGGATATATGTATTTTAAATCTGTAAGCAAGGTCTTGCTCAAATAAGCCCAATCTAATACGAACCAGGAACATAAACAACTCGTCTATAACTAGCATGGTTCGTGCTTTTGGACGACTTTCTCTATCTCCTGTAGCATAACAATAGGTCATTCTCTCAGCAGTTGGTTTTATGATTTCATAAAAAGCCTTAATGTGTTCATAAGAAACAAATCCTGTGTAGAATCTGACTAAGTCATTGTTAGTTGAAAATCTTTCTAAACCAAATTTGGATAGTGCTAACTCCTCGGCGGCAGCCTTCTTGGTATTTTCAATTTCTTTATGTGCTTGGGCCTTGAATGCATTCATTTCTTCCATAACAGAAGCTGTTTCTTCCTTACTTTTTTTTAATTCTTGGGTTTTCAGAATTACCTCCAATCTTAATCCTTCCAACTCTTCTTGCATTTTTAGCAAAGGATCGACTGTGCACACTTCACTGCCAGTTTCTTCAATTGCAGTTTCTTCAGTTTGTGTCTCTCTAAAGCAAATAACATTTTAATCATTAAGAAACAAGGTACAGGTGAAGGCGATAATATAAACTTATTATTGACAATTCCGCATACCCAGTACAAGTGCGAATTAGTTTTCTTCTTTTTGGAGTCATTGAAGACCAGTCAAATTGGCTGGGAACAGACCCTTTTTTTAATAAACACCGTCCTGCATTATCAGGAGGTAGGTAATCGTCCTCTAAAAAGTGTCTCGAGCAAACCCTTGTGCTGCTTGATATCTTATAAAGTTAAAACAAAACATAGCATTAGTGCGTATTTATTTACAAATGATGCACTATCTAAGATTCACTGAAGAAATATGCAAGAGCTTTTTTTATAATAATACAAAGCTACCTTGAAATCAGGCCCTTCGTCTCTTCGTATTTTGACCAGCCAAAGTTTACGGGTTTCTTTGCCGTCATTGGCACTTGGAATGCGATGGAACTTCAGGTCTTGGTGATATCTGGAATCTCCATTACATAGAGGCACACAACAGTGGTAGCTTGATCTTTTTTTTTGGCTTTAAAGTCGCTGAGCACTGAAGTTTATTTTGAACACTTGCGGAATCTTCGAGATTGAGTGAAAATTTACTCCTTTTCAGTTAAAAGTCAAGAAAAAGAATTGATGAAAAATTTTGCTTGTCAAATACCTTGATTCGACGCCATGTTGTCTAGCCGTGTTGTCAAGCCGAAATCGCCACAAAAACAAAAAAAATTTACTCTACATATTAAATTGCCTTGTACTCGCCATTGTTTTATGGAAAGCGTTCTCTCCAGTATGGCGTTACCTAAGCACGTGACCTCTAGCTGCAAAAGGCCTATTTGGCATTAACATGAACGAGTGAAATTTTCAATGACTGACAAGCTCTTAGCCAATCAGAATTTAGAATTTTTTTTATGTATATTATTACTGGAGAAAAAGGCATTAGCATTTTGCTCTTACTTTATACATCCCATATGATTCTACTTACATTTGAAACAAATGAATGAACAAGCTCCAATTAACATCTCTCAAAATAATAAAGCTCATTTAGTAAATGGTTTTCTGTAATATTTTAAACCAGACTTAAATCACATCAATTATGTTAATTATATGAAAAGGGTAGGAAAATGGACGGTATTTTGTTTAACTCGGATATTTAATGAACAGGTCGTGAATGAATTTTTGAAAACAGGTCACATAACGCAAAACAATAATAAATAAAAAACTAATTATACAAACCGAACCTTGAATGTTCTCTTACCTTAGTTGTAGATCATTTACTCTATACTTATACGCTTTCTTTGTACTAATTAAGCCGGTTTTCCACTTGCAAATTTTTGCGCCAAAAGCGATAATTTTTGAATTAAAAAAGTTCATGCGACTGGGTATATTTGTTTTCAACGTGTAAAAATTAACTCATAAAATGAAAAGAAAACAATGGAACATGGCTGAATCAAACAGTAACTAGATTACTACTTCGGAATAACGTGTTATGATTCTCATTGCTACAAAGACGACCATAACGACAAAGCAAAAACAACAATGGCTTTTTATACATCGCTGTATGTTGTAACGGCAATGAAAAGGAGAATTTCATCTGCTCGTGAGAGAGCTTAGCAATCACCGCATATAATACGCTTCCATGAAAATCGTTTGTTTCGTATTTCGTCCATGAAAATGTTTTCTAAACTTGGTTCTCTGCAAAGTATCTTTGTACGATGAAAGGGAAGTTCAATCAATTCCCAAGCAAAAAACTCCTTAACGTCCATCATTTTAAATACTGAGTACGGCAGACAAACGTTCATGCAAAAGGGAAAAACGACTGAAAAATCTGATGGGCTAGCGAACTATTTTGGCTGCAAAAATTAAAAATCATAGGAACTCAAATTTTCGTCGAGGCGTGAGGACGGCTTTGCCGTTTACGTTGCGTTTAGCAGTTTAGGTTTTAAGGGCAGGAAGCCCTTTTTGTTGTAGGTAAAGTAACGCAAGCTTTTTAGTATCTCTACTAAAACAAAATGACTTTTGTGAAGCATAGTAATTATTTTAATTTAGTACAAATCATAAATATTCCTATTAAGCTATCAACAGAGTTTTAATAAAACATGAAATACACCTCTTGACAATGCAAATCTTAAATAACAAATGCAAAACTACGTATTAAATTCGACTTTTTCGAAACAACAAAACTCAATGGCAAATAAATAATTTAGGATTGCCGCTTGTCGTAAACGCTAAAAACTAAAACTCTATTTGCGCAATGCAAAAAACAATAAGAAAAATACAAATATCATTGGAATATAATGAATAATTTGACACGAGTTACAAGAAATCGAAGTTTAAGGATAATTGACAGAAGAGCAAGTCTTAAGGCCTAAAAGCAGGGGCGGATCTAGGGTATGTCAAATCCGTCGCGCGACTGATGTTTGAAAATCAAAAGTTACTATTCATATTAATTAAAAATCATTAATTATTCTTACTTTATTATCGCATTTATTTCGTGATAAAAATCCAGCTTTATTTATTATTGAAAACTAATGACTAATCCAATGAATATCTCATTGGTAACCAGATCAGTTGAATTTTAATTGACCTGGAATAACCGACTGATAGACGGGGTGGCTTGACTGGTTCGAAGGATAATGGAGTCTATGAACGCCAAAAACGCTTTTTCAGTGGTCAATGGCCTGATCAGTGGGCAGTCTAGAATGGTCTCCACTGATAAGAGGGGTGGCCGGACGTATAAGGGAGTCCAATTACTATCTTACAATTGGTTCATTTGATTTTTTGTTTTATTGTGATTGGTTTGACGGATTTCGACTGATAGCCAACTGAACTAATATAGTTAAGCTCACTGTCTGAATTAAATGTTTGATCGTTTCATAGTAATTTTTATAAGCATGATTGAAACTAAACTACAATCAGATAGAATTTATGGAAATCTCTTTACAAATTCATATATTGACATGAATGCTGCTGTCGAAACTGTGAATTTTGTCACGAGGGTGAAAAATTTATGGATAAATTGTAAATGCTTGGCAAAGACGATCTCACGAGCGACATTTCAGTCATTGATGTTCAAAAGAAAGCCAACATTGTTTTGAGTTTTATCAGCAGAAATTTACATCCAAAATCGTAAGTAAAGGACAAGTGAAGTGTATGCATGAATATAATATATCAAAGTCAATTTATGCGAGTGTGTGATGCGATTTATGTCAATATGGCGTATGGTAAGCAGATTGATGCTTCTAAAATTGTTGTTGCCGAAGGACTTTTAGCTATGATTTCTTTAGTGTTTGGGGAATCGTGGCCGTTATATGGCAGCGAAATCCTACATTCCTGCAAATATATTTCAATGGACAAAAAATCTGTAGCCATAAGGCGCCATACTATTATTTACTTAATCATAAACAAGTGTTTGTGGCTTTTCAGTTTATGATCATTGATCATTCAATCATTGGACAGTAATACTACATATTGTTTAAGATTTGAGAAAACTAACATTGATTACACGAGAAGCTGTTTATTATAACCTGTGATTTTGAGTCTTCTGATCCATGAAGCTTTTTATTTTGACAATTTGACTGGAATGATATTAAACCTTAGTATTTCACATACATGAAATGTTGTCCCATGTCACATATTGCCCCCTTTTCTAACTGAACACCTTATGTAGAGATGTAAAGGTGTGTTAATCTACGGCTCATACCAGATTGTTAGCCATAAATTCCAAAGGGCTATTGATGTACGAAAAGCATTTCTATAAAGTAAAAATGTCTTTCTATGTATGCAGATAAACCTTAAAATTTGGCAAAACACAAAGTATTTTACATGATCACTAAGTAATTCTTCTGATGATCATTATAATTTCTAAACTAAATTATTTCAGATTTACATTTAAACGTGGTTTGATGATATGAAAACATATTTATCATAACCAGTAAGCATGAAACATGAACCAATTTTAACATTCGGGTAAATATATAATTAAAGACACGTTGGTTACATTCTGTTTGTATTTGCAAATACAATGCTACTAGTGATTGCTATATAGCATATCTTGCATATACTTACAGAAGATAATAGTCTAGTGAAATGCCTAATAAACATTAATGACATTAAGCTGTCCTTGGCTGCAAATTTTCACTATGATAATTTTTGCTTAATCTTTCGCAGAAAAGAATTTTGAGTTTGTTCTCAAATGGTGAATTTGCTGGCACTGATGTGGAGATGGGTAAAGGGTTACAATAAACTTGCAAGGTTTGAGGTCTGAGCTTTTATATATCTATGAACTGTCACTTGTAGTACCAAATTTTTAACTTAACTCATTACATAGAGGTTTGAATGAGGGTCTCTAGGGGGGTCTATGCTTGAAAACTTGTTAAAAATTTTTAAAGACTATATCTGTTTTGGAATAGCATTATTGTAAGATACATTTTACGTTCCTAGACATGCTAATGAGCATATATTTGGCATTATAATGAGTCTAAATATTTGGCAAAACATTCAAGTATTGTTCACTTCAATTTATTTTTTTGAAAAAAACGTAAGCAAAATGTGTTGTTTTTACTCAAAAACGATGCCCACAAAATACAATTTGTATTGCTCTAAAACGCTGAAAATGGCATTTCAAGGCTCTGAAATTCAAAATTTCTCAGGGGAGGATGCCTCAGACCCCCCATGTGCGGAGCGCCTTCGACAATTTATGACTAATGTTCGAAAAATCCTAGATCCGCCCCTGCCTGATAGAATGCGACGCCAAACCATACAAGATGATGGAGAACATTTAGTCAGAGATAAGGAGATGAAACTCCGAATGAGAGTTGTATCTCCGTAAAAATCAGATAGTTTAATTAGAACTCAAGGAGTTGTTGTATTTTGCGTATGTTATATTTTTTGTTGTAATAAAGATCCACACGAATTTTTAAAAAAATTAAGACATGAAAAACGAAAAAGTCTTTAACAAAGTCAGCGCAGACAGACGTTTATTTAAAAAAATCCACTCGACATGAGCACGATGTGCGCATTCAAATTGTCAATAGTTCCCCACTTCCTAACTGTATGTAGCCTCCTCAAAACATTTGGCAACAAATTTTGTAAAGAGAACAAATGGAAACGAAAGATAATTGCAACATTACTAAAATTAGTATAATTCTTGTAATAAGCGATGCTTATCTATAGCAAATATAAACCGATTTACATAGTACTTTTAACTTGCTTTGTTTAAATACTCTACAAACCCTATGAAATTGAATGGGCGCAAAACTGTCTGAAAACCACTTTTTACTGACATAATTTAATAAAGCAAACACGCTAAAGAAGCAAATGCAAACAAAAAAGCATTTCGCCGAGTTCCACATAAGAACAAACCGAAACAAAATACAATTGCAACATTAATAAATTTAGCAAATTTTCACAGTCAGAAACCATACATTTAACGAGCAGTACAAGTTTACAGCAAAAATAAGCAGAATTGCTGAAAGTATTTCCATACTTCAAAAACGACGCAAATGTATATCCTATTTAGACTATAGTCTAATGATTTCTAACAAACAATTTAACATCCTTAACATACCAACACATCATCACAAACATACCTTGTTTTGTTTTTGCTTAGCAAATCGTTGTTGATGTTTGTAGTTTTAACTTCTTTTAATTGATATTCAACAATACGGTCATGCGTTTCTACAGGTAATATAAAATAAATATGATTTTATGGTATCAGTCAAGATCAAAATTTATTCAAACTTATTAAATGACTTAATTTATGGCGAACAATTACATTATGATGACAATTATACATCGCAAACGCGCATAACGATTCTGTGAATTTTGTATGTCAAACCTTTTACTGGCTCACAGTCCAATTTTTCGTATTTTCCGATATAACGCAAAGCAAGTTATAAGCTTCACACATACCTTTACGTTGATATGTGGCCAGGGGCAAATTATTTTGTGCCGCGGAATTTAAGTCATTTAAAGAAAGATTGTAATGCAAAGCAAAGATACGGTTTATGATTTTTTTGTTTTATTATAATTTATAGGTTTGATTTTAATTTAGAGATTTAGAGTATGTTGATTGATAAGTAAAAAAAATGTAAAATGTAATGCATTATCATAAAGTATATGCTTACTCTAGGATTATTTTACATTCTCTGCAGTGTGTATATACATACTTATATGCATTATGGAGTCGATTGCAAAACAAGAGGATTTGATTCAACATTTGCATACCAGCATGAGACAAACACTATTTTAAATATGCTCGTTTCATTCTTTGTTGAAGAATTTGAGTTTGAGCATATTTATTTTTCGTTCTCTGTGCCAAATATTTTAAAATACTTTAAAATCGAAAAGAGAAGTCATATCTTTTTTATGCAGTCGATTGCAAAGTCAGAGTATCTTGATTTTATATAAGCATATCAGCATGAGGCAAGTAACAAGCTAAAAGCTTGAATAAAAAGAAATGAATAAAAGTCTTTTTATTTAGTGTTAGTGACAAGATGACAATTAAGATTGAAGCAAATCTATTTTTCCATTATTTTGATTATACTAACGACAAATCCAAATCATTATACAGGGTGTTAGAAAAAAAGGAATCCCTTTAAATAATTATGTACGCATTAAATGAAATCTGCTTGAGATAACTTAGTCTGGATTGGAGATTTTTTCTGCCTGTTTTATTTAGTTACACGTTTTTCGATGTTCAAAGCAAGTAATGGAAAATATGATTACGTTTTTGTGGCTTTATATTCTAATAATATGTCGCTTTTTTATGTTACAAAGATGTAATATTGCTCGCGCAACTTATAAGGGTCACATATATCGTTTGCGTCGATACGTGGCAAATTATTTCGTTCCACGGAATTTAAATCATCTTAAGAATATATTCACTAATTGTTACGAAAACAGGGAAACGCTTATAATTTTGGCTTTTGTTTAGGCATTTATTGTATTATTACATAATGCATGCAGCAAGCTTACTATATACAACTCTTAGCTTTTTATGGGAATAATTAAATGTATGATATTTTCTCTCGGGGATGTGTATACTCATACAGGCGTATGAAATACGATAATTGGGGGGTGGGGAGGGAGAAAGCATATATTCATATATGCATGTTATAATCTGTCGAAAAACAATGAATTTAAAATACGGCATAATTTGCTTGTATTCTCCACAATTATCGATCTTTCTACACCCATGCATCATGGGGTGATGTTTTTACATTGAATCAAGATTTTTTAAATAAACATTACGAAGCGTTCTCCTTCCACTTCACCTTACGGCTTACCTATGTGTTACGTTTTTACAGGCAACTCAATCATACGAAATATACAATTCAAAAACAAAATCCAATTGTATCACACAAGAGAAATAAAGTTTTGAAAAAGACATCACCCCCCGTCAAGGGGCATGCGATGCTCGCGAAGCTCGCACGTTATCTACATGTTATTTTTAGAGCTGTGTTTTGAATTAGGGTCCTAAATGTTGTTATTGGAGGTTTTCCCTTACGGATAAAGCTTATGTTTTAATTTTTTGATTGGTACTAAAATACAGTGTATTTCGTTACTGCATTCAAAATACTTATGAAATCAATGAAGCGGAACTTATCGAGCAAAAAAAACAACGACACTTTGCAATGGCGCCGATATTAACAGAATGTCCGTGTACGAGATATCTAAGATAAAAGACACTGCATTGCATCCAAACTTAACAATACTGGGGTTAAAATCTTATTTTTGTCATCAGTGATCAAGAAAATGTACAAGATTTGCCGAATACTTTCAAGATTCGGCAATAAAAAACCACTCAAGACGGCAAAATATGACTAAGTGAGTTAAGAAGTTAGATATGCGAAATATATTCTATCGTATGCCAGCAAAAACAATGTCAAATGCTTGAAATAACGAATAATTAGAGTGAGTTGAGTGTGGTTTTTCATCCTTTATGATTTTTCTTTGAAAATACGAAAATTCAATCTCTGACAAGAATATTTGTTAATTTATGCAAAATTGGCATTTGACCAAAGCAGGTATATGGTAATTTTCTCAGTAAAAATTAAACTTATGTAAATTTTTCCTTCATGACATCCCCTAAAAGTGAACCTTCTTAACACCTTAAACATTACAGAATTGTTATTGCTATTTTTTTAAAGAAGTTAGAGCAATGTCGACACTACCATTTTAGGGGGTCTCAATTTTAAGACTTTCGTACCGGATTGAGCAAATGGCACATATGCCATGTTCTTTGTCATGGTCATTTTACCCAAAAACAGTTGAGATAACTTCCGTTAGATGATATGCATACAAATTCTAATACAGGTCCTACACATATTGATTATTCAAAAACATCATAAATAAAAAGCGAGAAAATGATCATTAAAGAAGTTTGAGGCAAAGGTCATGGAGCTGCAGAATCTTGTGGGGTTCGTGAATTCTGCATTTAAAGTGTCTATCGGAAATTTGCAATAATTTATAAGTTTTCGGTGTGAACTTTGGCCTTTTTTGTGGCGAACTCATTACTGTTACGTATTTGTATGACATCCATGCGCCTAGGAAGAAATAAACAGATTTGCAACTATACTAAAATTAGCAAAATTCTAAATAAATAATCAGAAACTGTAAATGTAATGAGCAATATTAATTTGTAGCAAAGATTAACCAGTATCAACAGTTCTTCTAAAACAGTTTAAATATTTAAATTAGTCAATGATGTCATGATCTCAGTTTATTTTTAACATTTTTAATTTGAATTTGCCCGTCTGGTATAAATATATATATTGCATTTGATAATAACACAAAATCAATTTCGTAGCACATATTTCACAAATATACTATGTGGATGAAACGATTATTAATTTTTAACATACAATTTATAAAAGTGTTATAAAAGTTGCAAATGGTATGGTGGCCGAATTAACAAAATAATTGCATACAAAATCGTTGCATAATAGTACTTAGTAACTAATAATGATCATATTTATACATCGTACGTAAGCACCTAAAACACGCCTAATGATTCTGTGTATTTTGTCTTACAAACCTTTCACTGATTGATGGTTAAAACTTTCAGGTTTTCATGTTTATACTGTTGAGCGTGATATTTATCCTTTGTTTCGATACGTGGCAAATTCTTTTGTGCCACGGAATTCGAATCATCTTAAGAATAGATTGTTATGTAAAGCATATACATTGCTTATGATTTTTATTGTTTTCCATATGTTTGATTTTAAATTTAGAGAAAATTGATTGAATTGTGCAAAAAATGTAAGTTTTAATACCTTTTGCGCGTAATACGACTCTATGTTCCTGCAGTGCGTGTATACTCATTAACTCATGTACTTTTATGAAATCACCAAAAAACATTTGGCAGATTTTGTCAAGAAAACCAACGGAAGCGAGAAGCATTTGCTACATCGCGAAAATCTTTAAATTCATAGACCATATATATATAACAAGCGATGCAAGTTTATATCACTAATAAACGGTTTGCTCATTTTGCTGGTTGATATTTCTATACTTATAAAATGACTCAAATATTTGAACAATTCAACATTAGCTGTAGAATTACTCTTTCAAAGTAAATTCGCTTTGTGAGGCATATATATCATTGAATCATATCACAGAGTTCGAGAAATAACACATATTGCACAATTAAACAATACTTCTTCAAGTAATCTATAATAAATATATTACTGGCATTATAGCAAGATTATAATTAATTCAAAATGTATAAAAAGCTCAATAGATCGCAAACAATTTACATTTATGGACTGATTTGTACATCGTAAACACACATAATGATTCAGTTTATTTCGTCTGACAAACCTTTTACTGGTTGACGGTTTAAGTCTTCGGGTTTTCACATTTCACGTTCTTGGCAAATTAAGCGCTGTATGTATACCTTTTGAGTCGATACGTGGGATATTATTTTATGTCACGGAAATCGAATCATCTTAAGAATAGATTGTTATATAAAGCAAAGACACGGCATATGATTTTTATTGTTTTGGTTTATGCAATAGATGACCATAACTTTGAGCAATATTATCAATAGCAAAAAATGTTTATTATAACGCATTATCATAGATTACTTTGGCCCCGTTTACACTATACCGGATTACTATCGTAGCAAGTTGAATTTCCTTTGTACTAAAAAAGCAGTGAATTTGTACAACGTCAGAAACATAATCAAATGGTTCAAATTTATCAGCTTAATAAGCCTTTACTCCGTACAGTTACCCCTTAAAAGGAAATGAAGATGTCGTGATGAGCGAATCCGGTATAGTGTACACGCAACCTTGTACAGCTTACTTTAAACACTTGACGTTATTTGCAGGGCATATATATATATATGTTTATATATATATACTAAAATGGGTGTATGTTGATTATTAATTTTGGGGGGGAGGGCTCATACTTAAATATGCATGTTGTAATGAATAATAAACAATGGATTTAAAAGAGCTTAAATTGGCTAATCACGAAAATTTGAACTCTAGCCTACACAATTATCAATATTCCGTACGCGCCCCTACAGGTATAAGTTGTTGTTCGATGAAACACGTATGAATTAGATGTTTCTAGTACAATTGAAATGCAAAGAAAAAAGTGGCTTTTCGTATATTTAAGAATTTTCTTGATAATCTACATTTGCAAGGTGTGTTCTGATTACATTCAGATGTGTCATTTAGTTTAAATATATATGGTATAGGCACAGAATATAGAATATGCAGAAAAGTCACTCGCGTCGGAATATCTGATGTCCTCACGCATGTTGTGCCGCGCATATTGGCTGCCATAATCCAGCAAGATATTTACTGCTTTTCACTTGCGCCCAACCATTAAAATGACACAACGTCAGTTCTTATATTAAAATATTTTTGATTTCCTTAATTTCGTAATAGCACGATTGAAATGATGCAATTAACGTAAACGACAACTTTTTTTAAATTTTTTATTGCAGACATGTTTCGCAAACTTATGCCATCTTCAGTGCGGTATAATGAATGAATATTTGAATGGAGTCAATAAATAAAGAAATATGATACAAGACGTGTGTATAGACTTTGCAGTGACGTCACGCACGCTTTAGCAGTTGTGCTGGTGGAGCATCTGGAGGACAAGCAAGTCAGCGCTTTCTAGGTAAGAAAAGTTTTTTTGCCGAGATATATAGAAAATATTCAGTGTAAGGATAGTAAATGCGTTACAAAATGAAATTAGGACATTGCAATGGAGATGTTCCGACGCCTACCATTTGGTCTAACCCTTAGTCCTGCAATATTATCAATGTTTATTCGTCACCACGTTTTGAATTACAAGAATGTCGATCCAGAAATAGTCTCCTTATTAATCGAGTCGTTATATGTTGACGATTTCGCTAGTGGAGCTTCTAATGAGGAGGAAGCTCTATACATCTATCATAGATCTCGAAAATTAATGAGCGAGGGAGGGTTCAAGCTTCGAAAATGGCATTCAAACTCGCAAAATGTCCGAAATGTTATCGCGAATGATGAAGATCGACCGTTTGTTAAGTTGGGAAATGAAAAGGGGTCATCAAATGTTAAACATATACCAAGTACGATGGTGGAAGACAAGTTAGTAAAACCTCCTTTGCCTCATACAGAGCCAAAACCTAAGTCCACATCTCAATATAACCGTTTTAAAATTCTAGGAATCAGCTGGGATGAGAACAGCGACGAACTTTGTTATGATCTTGAAAAGCTAGTGCATTATTAAAAATCACTTCTTGCAAGTAAGAGGTCAGTTTTAAAGCTATCTGCAAAGATATTCGATCCTATTGTCTTTTTTACACCCTTTACTATCACTATGAAGATGTTTCAAACCTTCTGCTCTTCTGGCAGTAATTGGGGTGAAGATCTGTTTGGCAAGGCCTTATCACGTTGGAATTCTCTCGTTCACGATTTAATGGCATTAAGTGACATACGAGTACCACGTTGTTACTTCCATGGTGGATACGATTCATCTCCAATTCATCAGATACATGGATTATGCGATGCATCGGAATTTGCCTTTGCCGTAGTTGTATATCTACGAACGGAACATAAAAACGGTGAAATTGAAGTGAATCTAAAAGCAGCCAAGACAAAAGTCGCTCCTATCAAACGACAGACCATAGCAAGACTTGAATTGTTAGGCGCAAATACCTTAGCAAGATTAGTCGATTCGATTGTGAAAGCGTTGACTTCAATAAAATGTACCCTGATATTATCCTATGGACGGATTCATTTACCACATTGTGTTGGATTCGAAATCATAATCTGTGGAAGTCGTATGTACAGAACTGCGTAAATGAAATCAGAAAGTTAACTAGTGGTTATAAATGGAGACACTGCCCTGGGGTAATAAACTCTGCCGACTTGCCTTCTCGTTGGTACTCCGGAAGGGAACTTGTGCGATCTAGAATCTGGTGGAATGGTCCGCAGTTTCTCCAAGATACTGAAGTAAAATGGCCCGAAGATCTTCAACCTACAAAATTGGATGAGGACCATTGCTACACAGAGACAACACAAAATCCTCTTCAAATAACACATTCGTTGACGTTAACATCGCTTCCTGACCGTAATTCAATCCACTTGGAGAAAATTATTGATCAAGACAGATATGGTACAAAGAACAAACTACTTCGTGTCACAGCACAAATTTTAAGGTTTATCAAGAAATCAAGAAAGCAACTATGCTCTGTTACGTCTGAGTTAAATGCTAATGACCTATTCAAAGCTGAGAGATTATGGATCAGAATTACAATGTGTACGAGCCGGTCGTAAAAATGTACGAGTTCAACAACTTGGTTTGTTTCTCGACGATGATCAGACTATTCGGTGTGAAGGTCGAATTGACCATTCTACATTACCTGATTGTGCCAAACAGCCGATTTTGTTGCCCTCTAATCATACCTTTTCGAAATTAATTATACGCGACTGTCACAATATAGTATACCACGAAGGAATTAGAAAAACTCTGAATTGCGTTTGAGAAAAATACTGGATCTTGCGTGGTCGAGAGTGCGTCAAGGGCGTTGTGCGTAGTTGTATCAAATGCAAGAAATTCGAAAGTATAGCTTTCCAACAGCGAAGGAAGCGTGTTTGCCATCAAGTCGAGTAAGCAAAGAGCCTCCCTTTTCAAACACCGGTATTGACTTTGCAGGCCCTTTATACGCTACTAACCATCAAGAAATGGATAAAGTATTTATCTGTTTGTTCACTTGTGCCTCCACTCGAGCGGTTCATCTTGAACTTGTTTGTTATTTGTCTGTGCTATCGTTTCTGCAAGCTTTCCGAAGGTTTGTCTCACGAAGAGGTTTGCCGTCTAGACTAATATCAGACAATGCCAAGACCTTCAAAAGTGCTTCAAAGGAAGTTGCTAATATACTGAGATCAACTGACATACAAAGCGAACTGGCTTCTAAGGGTGTCAATTGGGAATTTATCATTGAAAAGGCACCTTGGCAAGGAGGATTCTACGAACGAATGATACAAAGTACAAAGAGATGTTTAAAGAAAACTCTCGGTCGATCCTCAATGGATTTTGACGCGCTTGGAACCATTTTGGTAGAAATTGAGGCTACCATTAATAATCCTCCACTTACATACATCTATGATGACCAAAAAGGAATTTCTTACCCTCTGACTGCATTTCAATTAATTTACCGATGGCAACATACTCTTACGGCTAGTGATCGACAATTTGAAATCATCAGTACGAATCGAACACTAACCAGAAAGATGAAATATCAGAAACGTTTGTTAGATCAGTTCATTAATGGTTGGAAGTTGTTTTAAGTGTCAAAGAGACTTCCCGTTTACTTCATGGAGCACAGAAGGAGAAGATAGCTGTCGGTGATGTTGTTGTGTTAAAAAATGATGTTTCTCATCGAATTTTGTGGAAATTGGCAAGAGTTACCGAGCTCAAGTAAGTAAGGATGGTGTTGTTCGAGCAGCAAAGGTCTGTGTTGCGAGTACTACAAAGGCTCTATCGTCAGAACTACGTCGTCCAATACAACAACTGATACCACTTCAGTTGAATATGCCTCCCGCGAATACCGTGGTTCTTAAAACCACTAGTGGAATTTAGTCTAAAGACGAAAACTCTATGAAAACCCGACAACGAAGAACTGCAGCCGTGATTGGAGACCTATTGCGACAGTCAAATAGCAAAAACTCGTGGAAATAAATTGATCAATATGATTAACGTCGGGAGTGTGATGAACATTTGTTTTATCTTTGTTTTTGTTGTTGCGGATAGCGTGCATTTCACGTGATTGACACTTTCGTATTATTACCGAAGGGAGGAGTTGTTGTTGACATTATAGATTCGAGATGTTGTTATTGAATTGTGAAGTAGTTTTCTTTTAGACGACTTCGTTGCACAATGAAATTTCAAAAATAAATCATTTAAACTAACGTAAATTTCAAAATTATGTGTTCGAGAATAAAATTAGCGATTTTATCGTTCAACGTGCATGACACAAGCTAAATAAGGAGGATAAGTTCAAGCAGTTAGAGGTACAACTCAAGGTAGTAGAAGATGAGGGGTTACTAAAATGTCAGGGTAGGCTAGCAGAATCAAACTTGGAAGAGGAAACAACTTCCAATCTTATTACTAAAGGAAGGTCAATTGACTGAATTAATAGTTGAGCATTGCCACAAAAAGGTACATTATAGCGGAGTTAGGGCAACTTTAGCAGAGATAAGGTCATGGTTCTGGATTCCACAAGAGAGAGAGAAGGTAAAATCAATTCTCAACAAGTGTGCCATGTGCAAAAAATTAGAGGGTAAACCATATAATAGACCGAACGAAGCAAACCTTCCGGCATTGAGAGTGGAGCAAGCAGAACCATTTTTAAAGACTTTAAAAACAGGGGTAGATTTTGCTGGACCACTATATGTGAAGAATACATCAAGGGGGACATGTATACATCGCATTATTTTCTTGTTGCGTAACTAGGGCCTTACAATTAGACCTAGTTTAAGATTTGTCTGCGGATCAATTCATGAAATGTCTTAGACGAATTCAGCGAGAAGGTGGACCCCATCATTTATGGTATCAGACAATGCAAAAACATTCAAAGCAACAGTCAAGACTTTAGGAAACCTCTATAATAATGCAAGTGCGCAAAGGTATTTGGGAAACAATAGGATAGAGTGGGAATTCAATCTAGAAAGAGCTCCCTGGTGGGGTGGATTTTTTGAAAGGATGGTTAGGTCAGTGAAGAGGTGCTTGAAGAATGTATTAGGAAATGGTAGATTGACATTTGACGAACTTCTGACAGTGATGGTAGAAGTTAAGGCAACATTAAATTCTAGGCCATTGACGAACGACGAGGTGGGTGGTGAACCACTAACTCTGTCGCATTTGGTGACGGGAAAAAGGTTGTTGTCCATGCCTGACGAAGGGTCTGGTGAAGAGGAGTCTGATGAGGGTTACTGTAAAGAACTGTATCAGTATTTGAGTAAAAAAGATGCACTTCTGGAATACGTGGCGTAAAGAGTTTTGGTTGGTTTAAGTGAGTTCCATAGCAGGACAAGGACAATGCTATTAGGCTCGTAGAGAAGGGAGATGTCGTGACTGTTTCTGAGGATAATGTCAAAAGAGGAAATTGGACGACAGGTGTAATAAAGGAGTTGTTTTCAGGGAGAGCTGGGGTGGAATGAGGCGCTAATGTCAGGCTAGTTAAAAACGGTAAAGTCGTTCACTTCAATTGTCCCGTCCAAAAGCTTTTTCCTACCGAGTTACAGCACGACGAAAAGGAATGAGAGCGAAAAGAGAATGAAAAAGGACTGAGAGGAAAGGAGAAAAACATGAGGGTAGACGCAAGAGAACCGCTGCTCTTGATTTTGTATGGAAGACACAGAGTATGCTTGATTAGTGGGACTAATCAATGTGGGGAGTGTGTTGTAAATTGTCATGTCAAATTATGTAGCGTGTGACTGTGTCATATTATACATTATAAGATATAACGGATATTATTATATTGATGTAAAATACTATAGTCATGTTAAGAGAACAATTCCTCACCGCAGTGCGTTATTGCGGTAGGATGTAAGTAGAAACGGTATAACAAAGATGAAAGTCATGTAAAAGCCAAAAACAATTTTCGAATAATTATTTATAAATATAGCTTGTATGCGTTGGTTTGGGAGTTCGGAAAAGTTGACGTTATTGGTGTATGAACTGGTCATACAAATTTGATAAATTAGTAGTCGTATTGCAGAAGGCAAAAAAGTTCGAAAATGCAGTTTAAGGATTGACGGTTGTCCGTAATCTTAACGAGATCAATTTAAGTATTCCGTATCGTGAAGTACCAACGTTTAGAACTCCGTCTTTTAAAAATCATGCACAACCACTGTAAATATCATATCAAAGTGTTAAATATAATTATCAAAATACAGTCCTATCGTTCGTGTGAAGTTTGAGAACAGTGAACAAGCACTTCGTACAGATTGTGCGAAATGTGTTTTTCTTTGGAGAACGATTGAGCAAACGCGAAACAACAAAAAATATATACAACTCACATTTGGAATTATTATAAAATAAGATGATTCCGTAAAAATACTTCAATGCTAAATGAGACTTCACCCTGACGAAATCAGTAGAAGCATTCAGGCTTAGTCAAATCAAAGACAACTTCATGTCACAATTTTAACCAAATTAGCTACCTTTTGCTGGTTTCTTTTGTACACAACATTTTGTCTTTTTTTATTTGGTATTAGATGATCTTGAGTATATTAATATGGCAGTAAGCTTTCAACTTAAATAATTGAATGCCGATTCTATTTTCTTATGCCATGTTTATAATGACACGTGTATTATCGAGAGAATAAGGAAATTTTCACCAACCTTTGGGCCTTGGGGGTATACCTTTTCCTATTTTCAGTTAGAGATATGTAATGTATGAAATCCTTTACCAAAAATTAGCTTCTCGTATTCTTTACTTTGTAACAGAAAAGATATATGTTTTGATAGAGAGCCCAATAGTCCAAGCTTAAAATGGACTTAACCTTTCTTTTGTCTATACTAAATTTGAAGAGTGTGAGCACCCATCGTTTGTGACGTTAATTGAAATGTGATATTGGCTTTGTTGTTGCGACCATCAAAGATGCTATAGCCGAAAGGAACTCTGGTGAATTTGCATGAGCTATCATTTTCAGCTTATTTTCGTCAGGAAGTTTATGTTTTGATAACTCCTTTTTCCTTTTGCAACTAATTTATATTACCATTAGACAACACACAAAATTATTTTTACTTGGGGCGAAAACTACCAAACACTTATATTGAAGGCTAATTATTCTTTCAAAGATTTTGTTTGCGTCATGTGAAAATAACAAAACATCTAAGATCTTTATATAAAATGAATATCACATTATTTAAACGCTATACTTAAATAATTATGAAATTTATGCAGCTGTTTATAAATATAAATAACACGAAAAAATGACATTGAAAACGTCATGAAATGTACAGAAATGTTATAACTACCAACGATTCTATTAACATTATTTCAAAGAGCACAATTCCATACCGAAGTAATGTAAAAATATACTAATATAAACTTGTCCTCGCATGCCCTTCAAAAATAGGCATCATAAAAATGGGTGTTTTTAAGAAAAAGCAAACATACAACAAACATGTTAGATGTTGTTGAATTAGTACAAAAAAGTTCTCTGCGTGCAAATACATCAATTATAAACAAGAATTTGCCCAGAGCAGGAAATCAAAGGAAGTATTTCGGCTTTGTCTAATCAAAGACAACTTCCTCCAAAAATTATGGCTTTAATTACTTTTAGCTAGTTTTATGTACATTACATTTTGTCTGCTGTATCTTTTGGTCTTATATGATCTTTGCTATGCTTGTAATCTATTAACATGAATAATTGAAAATGATTGTATTTTACCTATTCTATGTTTATAGTGAAACGTGTGTTATCTAGAGAATAAGGAACACTTTCACCAAGCGTTATTCTTTTCTTATTTTCTGTTACAGACTCTAATGCATAATATCTTCTACCAAATATTGGCTTTTTTCTTTTCTTTGTAAAAAAAGCATAAATGCTGTAATGGAGCATTCGTGACTCAAAGCCAAGAAAGGTCTCGAAGCTACAGTTAAGTTTGACAATTGTGGCCACCTTGTTGTTCATGACCTTAATATTAAATATGATATTAGCTAAAGAAAATCCCGACGGCTGAATTTGCGAATGATTATAACGATAATCTAGCTATCTTTGATAAATCCGCTGTATGAGACTGTTAAATAAAAACTAAATGTGATCAAAACGTTCAATATTGGGAGAAAACCAGCATGAGCTAGTTTTTACTTATATTGCGGCGGAAGTTTATGGTTTGATAATAGCTAAGTCATTTCAACTGAACTGAACCTGTTTGCAACAAACAAAAATTATTTTATGTCTATCTTTCAAACAAGGAATGAGGAATCCTAGAAGGGAGCGAGGAAGGGAACAGGGATGCGAAAACAAAGAATGAAAAAAGCCGAAATCGTTAAAACAAGGAATGAGAAAAGCCGGAATCTTTAAAACAAGGAATTTGTAATTAGGCAAAAACCGTGTATATTCAAAACAAATTCGTACGACATCGTACTAATTCCCAATTTTTCACAAATTTTATGCAAACGGCTAGTTAAGATGCGTTATTTTTAAAAAAGCTTCCAAAGAATGGTTTACAAGGCAATTACCAAGGAGTTTCATCGAATTGATTGCGAAAATTTTTCTTTTAAAGCGAGATATGAGTCTGGGCATGTTGCCAACTGATTTTGGACTTCGAACCA